GGTCTCGCCCAAACTATCTTTTGTCCTGTCACTTCCTCCAAGCACTGGCTTGGGCACATGCACAGAGTCCTAGCCAATTCCCAGAATTCACAGCAAACATATTTGGTTGTGTTTAATTTTATGTTCTGTCTTAAAGCGAAAGTTTGCAGATAAAACGGTCTGTGGCAGACCGTTCTCAAATGTCTTTATTCTAGAAAGTACAACAAATGCTCACATTCTGCATTTAATTAGGCCTCAACTCCTTTTAGCCTTACTTGGTTGAAACGAAAACAAAAATTATCAGTAGGAAAATGAGAAACCACATGGAGATTTTGAAATCTCCTCAACTTTTACTTAACTAAAGAATGCAGGAACGTTCCCATGAGATTCCATCCCATTTTCAGAGGGAGAAGGGAAAGGACTCATTTCAAATCTGCCCCACACGATTTCAACTCATTGTAAGATGAAAAGTTATCCTCAGTCTCTCTCTCTCTCTCTCTCTCTCTCTGTATATACAGATACACACATACATAAATCATAGAGTACACAAGACCAGCTATAGGTTTGAGTCCTGAGTTCATTTCTTATTAACCATGTGGCCTCAGAAGTTATTTCACCTCTCTATGTCTCTGTTTTCTCTTCTAGGGTAGAATAAAATGCAACTCACTGGATTACAGAACTATTATACATGAGATAATGCATTAAAAAACTCTTAGCATGGTCTTTGGCTCATTATAAACACTCAATAAATGGCAACTGCTGTTTAATGTTATTATTATTTTTTTTAAGTTTATTTATTTATTTTGAAGAGAAAACTAGCAGGGAAGTGGCAGAGAGAGAGGGGACAGAGGATCTGAAGAGGGATCTGTGCTGAAAGCAGTGAGCTTGATGTGGGCTTGAACTCACGAACCGTGAGATCATGACCTGAGATGAAGTCGGACTCTTAACCAACTGAGCCACCCAGGCACTCCTGTTTAATGTTATTATTATTATTATTATTATTATTTTCTTAATGTTTTTTTTTTTAATTTATTTTTGAAACAGAGAGAGACAGACCATGAGCAGGGGAGAGGCAGAGAGAGAGTGAGACACAGAATCTGAAGCAGGCTCCAGGCTCTGAGCTGTCAGCACAGAGCCCGACGTGGGGCTCGAACTCACGGACTGTGAGATCATGACCTGAGCTGAAGTCGGATGCTTAACCAACTGAGCCACCCAGGCGCCCCTAATGTTATTATTATTTTATAGTTTAAATTGTACAATTTAAAAAAAATTTTTTTTAACGTTTATTTATTTTTGGGACAGAGAGAGACAGAGCATGAACTGGGGAGGGTCAGAGAGAGAGGGAGACACAGAATCGGAAGCAGGCTCCAGGCTCTGAGCCATCAGCCCAGAGCCTGATGCAGGGCTCGAACTCACGGACCACGAGATCGTGACCTGAGCGGAAGTCGGATGCTTAACCGACTGAGACACCCAGGTGCCCCTAAATTTTATAATTTTTAATAATATATACAATATACTATATTCTATAGTCTAAATTGTATAATTCCTATCCAGTCTCAGGGTTCCTTAATCCTGGCACTATTGACATTTTGGGTTGGATAATTCTTTGTGTGGGTCATTCTGTGCATTGAAGGGTGTTTAGCAGCCTCTCTGGCCTCCACCCAGTAGACACCAGTAGCATCTCACAACCCCACCCAGGAGTGATGACCAAAATATCTTGAGACATTGCCAAATGTTCCCCAGAAGGCAAAACTTCTGCCGATTGGGAAGCACTGGTATAGAACAAAGAGCAGTAAGTGTCCTAGACATAGCAGACCTAGTTTCTATTAGTTGATTCGTGGCCTTGGGTAAGTCTTACCACTTCCCTGGGCCTTGATTTACTCATATGGTGAAAGAGGGCAGGAAATTCCTACTTTATCTTTCATAATTGTTTAAGAATGAAAAGAGAAAAAAAAATCAACTGCCCTAAAGAAGTGTTATCAAAGTGGGATGCTATTATGATTAGGTTGCTAGAGGTGGTCTATCCAGGGGCAATTCTGAGAAGCCTTGCCTGGGCACAACAGCTGATGCCAGCCTGTTTTCTTTTTTAGTTCCCACACGGGGGAGCCACTGGCCTCTCAGCAGCTGCTTCCAGATCACATGTCAAGTGTTCCCAGTGTCTTTAATGGATGTCTTTGTGGCTTGGCTTGAAGAATTCAAAAGGAACTGTTTTCTTTCAAAATGAAATGAAAACGTTCTTTTTAATAAAAATTATTATTGTAAGTGGTGAAAACTGCCTCGTCTTCTCTAGGCTTAACGTTCTAAATCTATCTCACATGACTAGACCTAACCAGTCATCAGAATGTTAACTGTGTCCTCTGCTGATTGATATTCAGAGAGAAATACCCTGAGGGTTTCTAACATCACTGTACTGATTAATACTGTAATAATACAGAGTAATACCACGATGGATTTCCTTATTGGCAAGGGAACACTTTTTGATGTCCTATCATATTATGAAAATCTACATACTGGAATTCAGAGGTGAGGCCTATTGTTATTCTTTTATTTATTTCTGAAAAATATTTAAATGGGAGATAGCAGAGTGTTTGGGAAAAGAGCATGAGCTTTGAGTTTGGTCAGAGCTATACGTAGATAGATGAGAGTCCAAGGTCTAATTTCACCATTTGTGTGATTTAGACAAGTCCTTTAGCCCTTCTGAACCTCAGTGGACTACATTAATAACACCTACCCCACAGGGTGGTTATGAATTTTAAATGCATACAAATATGTAAAGCATGAGGCACTGTGCAGGCACCTGGTAAATGTTCTGTAGATGTAGGTGATCTTTCTCTCTCTGTCCAGTCTGAAAGACTGTTCAAGGATTTCTTTTATCCCTCAGAGTGTGTATTTGGTGTGATTGCTTCATGAAGGTCACTGACATGAAAACAGTACTTTTTAGATAGAACTTAGAGTCTTGACTATAGTAAACTAATTGTAATAGAGCTCGAATCAGCTAATCAACAAATTTTCCAGTTTATGAACAAATTATCTCCCTTCTTCTGTGGGGCGTTTGTTGGAAATCAAGGGTCAGAAGTCATCTAAAGGACAAGAGCATTTACCCAGAGTGGAGTGAACAATGTGTTTCTTCCTTAAAACAATTCATTTGGTTTCCCTGAGGACACATATCAGTATTCTGAATTATCATGGTAGAGTAGCAAGAAGGTGAGCTTAGAGTCAGACAGACCTGCCATTTACCAGCAACATAGGGTTAATAAAATACCTGTCACAGGGATGTCTGGGTGGCTCAGTTAAGCGACTGACTCTTGGTTTCAACTCAGGTCATGATCTCATGGTTTGCGAGTTTTAGCTCTATGTCGGGCTCTGCAGCTGGCAGCACAGAGCCTGCCAAGATTTTCTCTCTCTCCCTCTCTCTCTGCCCCTCCCCTGCTTGCACTGTGTCTCTCTCAAAATAAATAGATAAACTTGAAAAAAAAAATACTTGTCACAGTGTAAGGGTGAGTATAAATAAAGCCCATGACAACCCCAAGTACCATGCCTGGCACATGGAAGGTGCTCAGTGAGTGTTGCTTTTATCCTTGGCTCTCTTACAGATCTTTGTACCTTAACTAGTTTAAGAGAAGAGGTGGAAACTAAGTAAATGATTATAAATCTACATTTTATTTTTATTCCTCTCCTATTAATGTTGAATATAGCATGTAGGAAAAGTCATGAGTTACTAAGGGCAAACCATTTAAAAAATACAGGATAATTTGCTTTGAAGTTTCCAATGGTGGCTCTGGAAGAGTTTTACATCATAATTTGTTCTTTATGCTGCATATGAAGGCATTTTAAAGTCCAGACCACAAAAGGGGTCTGGTCACCTCCTTCTCAAACTTGGCATGTTTAAGCACCCATAAAACCATTTTGCAAGAGAAGACACTATGGTAACAGGTAACACATAAGAATGAAATTATAAAATAAGTTTCCCAAATTTTCATCACTAAGGTTTCTTTTTAACATTTTTATTACTTCTTCCTATGGACCTCTTTAGTATGTTTTAGCTTCCTCTTCTTTGTTCCATAACATCTGTGCTAACTTCTATTGTATCATACACACTGCATTGTGATTGTAATGTGAATCACATTTTATTTCAAACCCCCTACTCCACAGTGGGCTCTCAAATAATATTTGCTAAACTCAGAGCAAACATTCCTTATGTAGACTGCATACTAATTAGAGTAGATTCCTCTTTATATACTGCCCAGACAATAATTATAATAGATAATATTTGTTAAGCATTTACTATCTTCCAGATTTCCTAGAATTTTTCAGTTAACAACTCATTCATCCTCCTAGGTGGATATCATTATTAGGTCCCTGTTATTGTTATGGCTTTTCCTGCAGTGACATCGTACTCTCCCTCTATGCTGGGGAAACCCAGTTGACATCATCTATGAGAAGAAGGACCAGAAAGATGAGTCAGTTCCAAAATAGTCCCAAACTCCAGGTTTCACCCTTGCTTTCATGGTCTTTCTCCTACCCTCCAAACATTTTTTCTAGACAAAAAAACAAAACAAACAAACAAAAAAAACCAACCCCAAAAAACAGAAAACAAAAAACTGATTCAGGTATTTCATTTTCTTTCCACACTTCTGCAGCATAAAAGGATGACACAGAAGACACAGTTTATCTACACTCTGCCCTGGATGACTGAGTAATGGGTGCACTTGGACATGGACCATTGCTGGTAATATCTTTTACTACATAAATGACTGTGACAAGTGGTTTCACGCCTGCCCCATTTTCCCCACGAACCACAATGGTTGCAGGAATAAGGCAGTTTCCTCCCCGAGAGTGTGCATTGGTACCCTAAAAGGTGTTTTATGCAGAAACAGCAAGGTTTACCTGTCTTAGAAACCCAGTTGGAGACCAAACAAACACTATCCATCTCCTTTGCCCCTCAAAGACTCTCCTAAGGGCGGGGGTGGGGGATGGAGAGGGGATTTTTAAAGGTGACTGAATACATTAAAGGCATTTACCACATGCTGGGATGTCACACAGGTCAGACTTAAAGTTTTCATCCAAGGTGAAGCACCAGGGGGCCTCCTTCTGATTCCCCGGATTGCGGCAGTAGGAATGGCCTCCGTTCAGTTCTGGGAAACGGAGAGCGGTGAAGGTGTGCGTGTGGGGGTACTGAGAATTCCACGGCTGGCACTGGCGCCCTGATTTGGTCACGCTGACGGTCCCCCGGTAATCCACACCTGTGCTGTTATAGCACTTGTGGTCTGAAAAACAGAAGAGAAAGGCCCAAACTGAGAGCAAGAAACAGGAGATGCTGGAACTTCCAGCCAGCAGTTTCTGGAGGGAAGACGTGCAATTAAGCTCATGGCTAAGGCTTCCCTGCTGGTCAGGGGCCATGTGGGCAGTCTCCCCGCTTGCTGGGCTGGGACATAGGTCCTGCCTCACAGTTACATTCCTGGGAGGATTTAAAGCTTATGCTTCAGGAATAAAACCAGTCCTCCACATGCATTTTTAATACTGAACACAGAAAAAAAAATCAGAACTGGGGGCACAGTAGTAATTTCCTAGTGAATGGCTCAGGAAAGGTTCAAGCTGAACTGCTCTTTCCATTTCTGCTTGATGTCTTTAGACATGAATCGTGTGATAAAGAACCTAGTTCCCAGCAAATGTTCATTAGGAGCAGTGAATTATGAGTTTCTCACAGGAGTTGGGGCCACTGTGTGCTGATGCACTGGATATTCGTGAAAAGCAAATCCTCTCCCCAGGTGACCACCATGGCACTTACTTGAAAGCACTGTAAAAATCCATTAAGTTGAAATTAAAATCTGGAGGGGTAATGATAAAATAATAGTAATAATAATAGTAATGAAGATATCACTATTATTATGTGCTAAGCCTAGTTCTAAGCATTTTAGATGCATTAACTCATTTAACTAATAGAATAATATTAAATACCAAAAGGAAACTAAAAAATTACCAGTAAAACTTAACTCTAGGTAAATGGAAAATTACAGAGGAACAGAGGTGAGAAGAGAGTGGAGAGAGGCAAGCCCCACGTATATATTTTTAAAATTGTGGTACAATACACATATCGTGAAATTTACCGTTAGTGTCTTTAGAAGATTGAAAACATTGTGCAACCTTCACCACTATCTCATTCCAGAACACTTGTATATCATCTCAGAGGAAACCCTATACTCATTTAGCAGTCCCTCCCCACACCCCCTTCCTCTGGTCCCTGGCAACCACTAATCTGCTTTCTATCTCTATGGATTTGTCTTTCCTGGATATTTCATATAAAAGGAATCACACAATGGCGTCTGGCCTTTTTCACTTATGTAATACTTTTCTTAAGTTTCAGCCATGCTGTAGCATGTAACAGGATTTTATTCCTCTTTATGGATGAATAATATTTCATTCTATAGGTACACCACAATTTGTTTAGCCACTCATCCACTGCTGGACATTTGGGTTGTTTCTACCTTTTAGCCATTGTGTATAGAGCCTCTATGAACACTTAACACACAAGTTTTTGTTTGAACACCTATTTGAAATTCTCTGAGTGTCTACCCACGAGTGGCATTGCGGGGTCATACGGTAATTCTATTTAAATCATTGAGGAACCAACAACTATATTTAAACATTTATTATCGGGGTACCTGGGTGGCTCAGTGGGTTGAGTTTCTGACTTTGGCTCAGGTTGTGATCTCCTGGTTTGTGAGTTCGACCTCCACACGGGGCTCGCTGCTGTCAGCGCAGAACCTGCCTCGGATCCCCTGTCTGTCTCTCTCTGTTCTGCCCTTGCTTGCATGCTCTCTCTCTCTCTCTCTCTCTCAAAAATAAATATTAAAAAATAAAAATAAAAATGTATTCTCTTCATGAAGCCTCTTAAAGATAGTTACTGCATGTAATCTACTGAATGCTCAGCCCCCACACAGTATTTAGCCCATCGGAAGGTAATCTGACTACCAATATGAATCATTACTACAGATAAAGGTCCAGTTTTCACTGTGCCATGGGGTTGCTGGCCCCCAGGCAGCACAGAAGGTCAAGAGTCACCTACTTTTATTTATGGGATCTGCCATGGGAATTCCAATCCGGATGCAGTTTGCGGCTTCGGGGCTCTCCGGCTGGGGGAGATCTTCACAGTTTGGTAGTTTCAGCCTCATCAGGATCATGGGATTTGATCTTGCAAAAATGTACTCTGTTTGACACAGGACGTTCTCCAGGATTTCACATTCATCGCGACACAAGTCCCGGGGCTTAGGGATGGATGAGGTTTCGTCGCAGTACGGGAAGGCATAGTGGCACAGGGAAGGAATGGCAAACTGAGAGCACTTATCAGATAAGTGGCTGGAGGTGCCAATCATGGTGAAGGCAGCTGGAAAACAAACACAGTTATTAACTCCCCGGGGCCAGGGTTTATCTCCTTCGGTTATCTAGTCAACAGATATCAGATATAAACACACACTGGAAGGAATCCGCTGTGCTCAAATAGACAAGGCCAAGAAGAGATTCAGTTCAGATGTCCAGGCAGCTTACTTTCACTGGCTTGAAAAAAAATCATTTTGACTACAAAGTTAAAAAAAACAGGATTAAGTTACATATGTACCATTTCCTAATAAAAAGAATTAATTAGGTTAAAGCACAATATATTTTTCATTTTTACTACAAAGCAAAGAACTTTGTGTTTCATCCGGTACGTTTTATTAGTTTTGTGCAGCTTCTAAAACATTTGACAGCTGCAGGGCAGAACTTGCTTTATGCGGTGGCTGAGGCTGATCACAGGATTTAGATCTGTGTCTTGCCTCTGAATTGGATGACTTTGGGGAACTTGTCTAATTTCTTGTGGCTTGAATACTTTCTATTCCATCTTCTGAAAATGAGGCATTTGTCTTGGAGGTTCTCAAAAAAGCACAACTCAGTGGTTGCAGTGTGTGTATTAGTGGTCACTTAGCCTAACCTCTTATCCAGTTTGGCATCCATGTATAAAAACAGTACTAGCATCCCTTTGCAAACCTCCATTGACAAGAGCTTCTACCTCATCATAGATGGGTGATGAAACATTTACGTTGGAACTCCCATTTATTTTTGTGAATACTTAGTGAAGAGTATGTTAAAATGTTCTTATGTTAAGTTAAAATGTGCCTTCAACAGCCCCTCCCATCAGTCCTGCTTCTGCTTTCTGGAATTTCACAGAGTCCTTCCTCCTGAGAGCCTGAGGTCTTTAGCAAGGCAACTACAACTTTCTATGGTTGCTTCTCCTGGTTGAATAGCTCCCTTGGGCCCCTCTTAGTGCCTTCAAATTCCTCATAGGACATAGTTTCTAGACTTTTTGCTGTTCTGTGTGCCTGCCTCAGGTTTGTTCCTGCCTCATAAATCCTAAGGTTGCCAGATAAATAAACTACAAGGCACTTAGTTACATTTCAATTTCAGATAAATATTTGGAACACACGCATACTAAAAAATTATCCACTGTTTATCTGAAATTAAAATATAACTGGGTGTTCTGTATTTTTATTTGCTAACACTGACAGCTTATCAGATTCTCATAAGGGCAATTTTAATGGCTTGAAAGGGTACGTGGCACTGAGGCATCACCACACTAATGCAGTAGTTCAAGGCCACTATAACCACCAGAACCAGGGGTGCAAAACTGTACAAGGTGGCCTATATTACTTCACTCCTGCATTCTAGGAAGTGCTTCACTATTAGATTCAAAAGATACTTTCAATTCAGAAAAATGAGGGGTAAAATATAGAAGGCTAGAGCAGGAAGAGACATATGATCATCTTGTCTTATCACTCACTTCACAGATGAAGAGACTTTCATGGAGAATACAAGATTTCCTCACAGTCACAGTAATGGCATCCAGAATTCTGGACTCTAAATTGTTTTAGCACTTATGGGACTTTTAGTCTACACAATGTTGTTTCCAAATAGTAAGCTCCTTGAGGGCAGAGATGTAACCTGGCTTATTCACCACACTATCGTGTCCCCAGAGCCCAGCCCAGTACCTGATATACCAGAAACACTAATAATATTTATGGAGTGTCTGAATAAATGAAAGACTTTTCAGAGCATCTTTTCCCTCTAAGAGCAATAACCTTCAATAAAGTATTGTAATGCACATTCCAGAGCAGAGATCGTATCTCAGGCTTCTTTGTGGTCCTGCTCCTAACGCCTGTGCTTCTAACCTCCAACCCCTAACCATTTATCCTTTGTTAAAAGAAGAGCTCAAGTGAGAAAAATAGTTATACAAGGTATCAATACAATGTCATTGGCGTCACTTACCTGTGATCTGATTTTCTATTTCCCCTTGCATGTGCAAAGACTCCATATAGACAGTGCGGTTGCCAATAAATCTTGCACATGCAATCCCTCTGTATGGCTGACAGAATCCATCTTCTTCATACTCATCTCTAAAACCAGAGCACAGACATTAGCTGGTGCAATGTATCCACATTCAGTCGGCTCTGACTGTGCAATGCGCTAAATGGTCGCTAGGGGGAGAAGCTGGGCACATTATCCCAAAGACTGGGCCGAGTCGTCAGGCTCTGCCTCAGTTCCATCCATCACTTCAAACATCTGCTGGTCACGTTGGTCAAGTTTCCTTCACCCCCAGAAAATCATTCTAAGCACAAAAATCATCCTTAAATATGGGAGAAAGCACTTTTATTTTCGCAGCTGGTGGTGGGCTGGAAGATGATGTAGTTATAAAAGTAAAGAGGAAATGAGTTGGAAATCTGGGCACATGTTCTACAGTTTTTTGTTTTTTAAGCACAGATTATTTCTGCGTCATTTGCTACAAAGGCGTGGGTGCATTATCCACAAGACCCACTCCAACTGATGTGTCAATTAGGAGGCTCCGTGGGGTGAGAAGCTGGGTGCAGCTGGAAAGAAACCAGAGGGCAGTCCAGTTATGTGGCTCCTCACTCCTTAAGACCCATTATCTCTACCCTGCAGAGAGAGGTCCAGGCAAACCGTGGATTGCACAATTTCAAGAGTCACTAAATCCCAGGAAATCTAAAGAAAATGGCAATGGAAATCTTGCTTTCATGATTCCCTGAAAACTTTTAAAACAATCTTAAATTTTTAAAAAATTTTTTCAAGTTTATTTATTTATTTTGAGCAAAAGAGAGAGAGAGTGGGGGAAGGGCAGAGAGGGGGAGTGAGAGAATCCCAAGCAGGCTCTGCACCCACCGCGCAGAGCCCAGTGTGGGGCTCGAACCCACAAACTGTGAGATCATGACCTGAGCCTAAACCAAGAGTCGGCCGCTTACCGGACTGAGCCAACCAGGCCCCAATCTTAAAAAACGTTGTTACCTCAAAATTATAATAATAAAAAGGTAGGGGGAGTAGATTTTATTCTGGAGACAAAGGGTACTGTGGCTAGTAACAGTCCCAGATAATGTGGTTAGTGACAGTGTGGCAAATGGCTAGAGATCTAAGGCTAGAAAGTAGGACCCACGATGGCAGATTCAGCCTGAAAGGATAGAGGCCATAATATCCTACAAGGGCCTACGATAAACACAAGACAACGGAGTACAGAATAGCCAGCTGCTTCTCATAAGCAGACCACAGCCAAACAAAAGGCCACCTGCTAGGCTTCTGGGCTGACTTCCACCCTGGATGCTCCTCTTGTGTTAACCTGGCTGGAACCAATACACTGTCTGAATGAAAATATTTTTCCTCTTTGGTTTCTTCTAAGTTAAAGTACTGTAGACCAAAGTCAGGAGAATGAAATTGTCTTCCGGGGCTTAACATTGCATGTCCTTAGAATCTCTCCGAGTCCTCTGAGCTACGGTTTTCTTATCTATAAGAAGATAATAATTGACCTCTCAACCCTAGGAGTGAAAGTCATGAGGATCCTATCAAATGTAAAGGCTTTTAAAAAGTGCTATTCAGAGGTCACACATGCTTATTATTGAAGTATTTATGATTACCAAAGAAGACAGTTATTTAAAGGACAATTATTTACTAAGCTCCTACGTTGTAAAATCTACTGTAGTCAGCCTTGTGGCGCTAGACTTCACTGCTTGGGGGTTCAGTGTGGGAGTCTAGAAAGCCTGCTCTAACAGGAAACCAGGTGAAAAAAAATCTGATAAAGCTGGTCATTAAAAGCCCAGTTTCCAGTGGCTCTCTACTCCTTGTTCACTCTAACAGTCATTTTGAAAGTGGAGATGGAGAAAGTATCTTCATTTTAGTTCCCAAAACAGTTTGTATTGCAAAGCTCTTAAAAACTTAACCTTCAAGTACACATACAAATGGATACATCATATACCTGACTTGAAGACATTGAAATTTTAATGTTGCAAAATCCTGCAAGCACTCCACATGTTTACTTTCATAAATCCTAGAGTAATGTTGAAGCCTTTTTGGCTTAAATTTTACTTGGGTTGTAAAATTAACCCCGCTTTTATTGGGTAACTAATACCATAAACCTATGGGGAGAAAGAAGTTTCTCGATGACCTAGCCCTGGATCTTGGAAACCAAAGTACTGAGACCAGAATGCACTTCCACACCACCCCCTGCTATGATGATGATGCTTTTCTATCCTTAGGCATTAGCAGAGCCCTGGACTTTTAAGGTGTCATTATGAGAACACTTCTTCCTCCCCCACGTTAAACTCTCAAGGCCTCAATTTATATCTCTTGGGAGGACAAAACCCTGGAATTACCCCCAGATATAAATCCCCAACCTACTGGGAGTTCCCATATTTTATGTGTGAGGCTTAGGCTAAACTTCTTACCACCTTTCCAGTTCAAGACTCTAAAAAGACTCTTTGAATATTTTTTTTTTTAAATAATAAAATGGAATGCAATTCCTTGGCTGCATATTTCTTATCAAGGGCTTAGAGCTGCAGGTGTAGTGAATTTTTGACTGCACCCAGAATTCCTGATATTCTGACCGGTCTCTTAGAAACAGATATGAAAAGCAAAGCAAAACAAACAAACAAACAAACAAACAAAAACCCAGTATGTAATGTCATCTGCTAGGGAGTAGTTCTCAGCCCTGGCTGCTGGGAAGAATCTCCTCAGAAAGCTTTCAAAAATACCAATGCCTAAGCCCCACCTCAGACCTATTAAATCATACTCTCTGGGGATGCAGCGTAGTACGCATGCTTTTAAAGAAGCTCTCAGGTGATTTGAATGTGGTTGAGAACCACAGAACTAGAAAAACAAACCTCTATTAAGTGTCTGCCACTCTGTGCTGGGTACTATGCTAAGTGCTTTCTTCCAAGTAGCTCCTTCTGTGGTATCATTATCCTTATCTTACAGAGGGAGAGATTCAAGTTCACAGGAGTCACTGGCTCAAATTCACAAAGCCAGTTATTGGTGATTGGTGCAGAAAGGATTTAAACTTAAAGAGCAAGCTCAAGCCATGACACCGTGTTGTTTGATCTATAATGATGTTCTGCTTTTCAATACTACTTTTACTTACATCAGCCTAATTATAAATAAGAGACTTTAAAATGAGCCTTTATTCTGTGCCAGAAACTGTGAAGTTTCACTGGCATATAGAATTGATATTAAGTCACTTAATCCTGACAACGATCTTATAAAAAAGGTGAAGGTGTGATCATTCCCACTTCACAGATGAGAAAACTGAGTGTCAGAAAGAGCGAAGACCTGGTGTAAATTTACACAGCAAGCAGAAGAGCTAGATTTGCCCCAAACTAGTGCTTGCAACCATAGTATACAACTTTTCTCTGAACAGTTTGATTATAAAAGTTTTTGCACTGCTTACAAGGGCTTTCTGCTGTGAAGATGTTTTGGTGTCTGCTTAGGTGGCAAAAAGGCTTTCTTTTAAACATAGAGTCACAGTCACCTTTCCTGCTTTCCAAAGAGGGGAACCAATGCTCCTCCAACATTCATGAAAAGCTCTCTGCTTTTCATCAGCTCTCTGCTTTTCTCCAGCTCACACTTCTTTCATCATTAATGTCCTCCATGCTTAGCAAATTAAAAACACGGAGCACAAGGCAGCAAACGTGCAAGGGCACTTGCAATGAGCGTGCCTGAGACTGCGTTCTTTCTGCACAGAAGAAGAGTGCATTGTGACAGGGAAAATGGAATTTTGCACAAGTGCCACCTACCTCACCATGATGTCAAGATGCAGGGGAGCTTTGTGATGGGGACTCAAGTTTCTCATAAAGGTAATTTAGTTATCACATTGCCAACCCCTGTAGCCTTCTAAGTTCACTGTCATGTGATAGGGAAGAGCAGACCCAGTTTGCCTTCACCTCCAGGGTCTCCCCAAGGGGCCTATGAGGGATGGTCATATAGGGCTAAAAGTGACCACGACCAACATGGCAGCAGTAGGGGTATCCATCCAGGACCCACTGGAAACCCAGGAAAGGGAAATGCTACCACTGCAACTGACAACCCAAGGGCCCTGGCCCAATTTCTCAGGTCAGTGACTAAAGCAGAGAACTCTAAAGGTAGAAAAAGCACGTTGTATGATATGGGACATTTGGAGACTATCTGTAGTTTGGGGAGCAGAGAGAAGGAAAGGGGGAGAAAGGATTGGTGGTAGATGGGGTAGGGGGACTGAAAAGATGCAGAATACCCCAAACTGATGCCCAAATGGAGTTGTGCCAATCTTGGACTATGAGAGGCCCATGACTACTCTTCTCAGAGCTTCTAGGGAGGGCAGTGTCCAGGCTCTCAGAAGGCTGCCTCAATTTAAGGGACACAAGAGGACAAACTCAGTGGTTGTCCTACACCTATGATTTAAAAAGAAACCCTGAAATATGACTGCAAAACCTGACAAAATTCAAATGAAGTCTGTAGATTAGTTTGTATCATACCAACAGTAATTTCTTACTTTTGGTGATCGCACTATGTTTATGCAAGACGTCAACATTGGGGGGAATGAGATGAAGGACATATGGAAACTCTCTGTACTATTTTAGCAAATTTTCTTAAATAAAAAATATTCCAAAATAAAAAGTAAAAAAAAAAGAAGTCTTACAGGATGGGAGAGGGGTGGGAACCTTACTGTGTGTAGACAGAACTGGAGATGTGGTGGGGTGAGGAGTTTAGGAAGGCCATCAGATGAGCTCATTGAATCTTAAAAAAAAATTTTTTTTTAATGTTTATTCATTTTTGAGAGACAGAGACAGAGCACGAGTGGGGGAGGGGCAGAGAGAGAGGGAGACACAAAATCCAAAGCAGGCTCCAGGCTCTGACCTGTCAGCACAGAGCCTGACGTGGGGCTCAGACTCACGACACGAGATCATGACCAGAGCCGAGGTCGGACACCCAACTGACTGAGCCACCCAGGCGCCCCATTGTTTAATCTTTATACTAACCTTATATCACGCCTTCTGGGTCTATCCCTGGGTAGCTGAATTCCCATCACTAAAAACTCACTTACTTGCGTGAGGCTTGGCCTACTTCTAAATTCCAACGCTTCCAG